AAACCCAGCACACGGTGGTTATTGCAGTTGCAACCAAAACGGAATACAAAACATCAAACACTACATAGCTGTGTCACAGGTACAGAATGTAACAGTTATTTAGTGACACAACCTGATCACTGAGAGTGGTTTAGTATATAAATCCAGCATACAATGGCTGTTACAGTTACAGCTGTGACGGAAACATAAAACATCAAACATTACATAGCTGTGTCACAAGTACAGAATGTAACAGTTACTTAGTGACACAGCCTAATCACCAAGAGTGGTTTAGTAGATAAACCCAGCACACGGTGGTTATTGTAGTTGCAACCAAAACGGAATACAAAACATCAAACACTGGAAAGTTGTATAAATACAGAATGTAACATTTATTTAGTGACACAACCTGATCACTGAGAGTGGTTTAGTATATAAATCCAGCATACAATGGCTGTTACAGTTACAGCTGTGACGGAACATAAAACATCAAACATTACATAGCTGTGTCACAAGTACAGAATGTAACAGTTACTTAGTGGATACAACCTGATCACTGAGAGTGGTTTAGTAGCTAAATCCAGCACACGGTGGCTGTTACAGTTACAGCTGTACCGGAACATAAAACATCAAACACTACGTAGCTGTGTCACAGGTACAGAATGTAACAGTTACTTAGTGCACAATCTGATAACTGAGAGTGGTTTAGTAGATAAACCCAGCACACGGTGGCTATTACAGTTGCAACCGAAACGGAACAGAAAACATCAAACACTACATGGCTGTGTCACAGGTACATAATGTAACAGTTACTTAGTGACACTACCTGATCACTGAGAGTGGTTTAGTAGATAAATCCAGCACACGGTGGCTGTTACAGTTACAGCTGTGACGGAAACATAAAACATCAAACATTACATAGCTGTGTCACAAGTACAGAATGTAACAGTTACTTAGTGACACAATCTGATCACTGAGAGTGGTTTAGTAGATAAATCCAGCACACGGTGGCTGTTACAGTTGCAGCTGTGACGGAACATAAAACATCAAACACTAGGTAACACTGACGTGTGAGTCCAGTTTATTACGTTATTGTTCCATCACGACATATTAGCTGTGTGGATGTTTACAAAATTGTGTTTCTCTCTGATTTTGTTGAGTATCGGATTGATAACAGTTCTCACATTTTATTGTTTATTGATTTTCCAAGTTTCTTCCTAGTATATAATAATTCTTGCCAATTCTTTGGCAGATTTCTTATACTACGTTTACGTTTTCATATTTTTAAACTACACCATTTTTAGGAACAGGTAAGATATACAGTAATTGTTAGAGATAGATTTTCCTGATAATTCATCGCTATTGATGACATGCGTGTATTCTTGTTCGAAATTATTTTAACTATGAATTGTTCATAAAAGATGTGGATTTTTAAAATAAATTAAGAAAACCGTTCAAAAAATTACCAAAATCTAATGGGGAATTATTGTACTACTAGAAATTACCTTACGTGATAAAACATTTCAAATTTTTTTTACAATCTTGTAATGGTCATATTAAATATCTTTGATAAAATACAGGTTATTAGAATTGTGATATCCTTTTTAAATCATAATATACTTAGACTTGAAATATTTATCCGAACGTCAAACAAATTAGGGAAACTCACATTGCATATACAAATTATGAAAATTGACACACTTTGCGAATTCACTTACCCAATTTATTGTGTTGGATATAGCGGATAAAGCTACAACATAAACAAGAACATCTACTCGTATGTAAAGAGATCTCTGTATTCATGTAAAACTTTGCTTTGAACAAGAAGATAACAAGAGGTAAACTTTTTTCCAGTGTCTTACATCCCCTAGCTGTCAGATTTTAAAGGTGTACCTTGAAACTTTTACGTAATAAAACTTTCTCGCCCTAGCGCAATAAATTCTGTAACTTCGTATACGTTGCAAGATAAATTTATACTTCTAAATATAGATAATCCATATGAGGACGAGTTGATTATATTATAATGTATCAACTATTTCAATGGTAAATTATGTTATCTTCTGTCTCACTGATTCATTTGTTGCATTATCAATTATTTGACGTAAAGCGTTATCATTTGTTGTCTATCGATGTATGTTTTGAGTAAATATCACAAAATTGATATATATATATACATATATTATTCAAAAAGTCATAAATATTTTGTATAAACTGGAATTAAGAAACCTTTAAAAAGCATTTTACATTGAATTACTAGATACTTTTTTACTTTAAAAGGTATTGAAAGAAAACTGACTTCTTCTTTTATAATTGCTTGAATATTAAAAACATGAGTTTTTAAAAAATTAAGTTATATGAAACCCAAACAACTCAAGTCAAAACTAAAACAACTGAGCACTGCGACAAACGGAATAACAGTGGCGCCAGGGGCCTTAAGGTTGCCAAGTTTCGTTTAACCTCAGAGAGGATTTCAACTCTGTATTATCAAATTTTATGCGAATGTGTTAATTCTTGAAATATTTTTCAGGACAATAACGTGGCCGAATCGTAAATTTTGTAAAATGTTTATGGAAATTCAAGGCCATGATATTGATTTTTTAGCAAACTAAACATAGTAAATGTAATAAGATTAATTTATATTATTTTCCCAAATCAGCAAAACAGACGAGCGTTATAGGTGAGCATATTTTGGTGTTTACTAGTATTTTACATTTTTAACAGAGTGGATTTTATTATTGGTTAGAAGGGTTGCCAAAAATCCACAGGTGGTCTCTCATGAATCTTTCATGAGGCAGGAGAGCAGGACTGAATCTTTCATTAGAGTTCCCACTCAATAAAACTCACAGGCTGATTCCATACTAAGACTTTTTCGAAAAAAAAAGATTACCAACTGGTTTTCCCACCGACACGAACAAAAGGCTAGGTTACACAACCAAAAAATGATAAAGTAATATGTAAAATTGATTGAAATACCATATTTTATATTTTTTTGATTTCTTAGTAAAATGAACTATCAAACAATTACATTAAAAAAAAATAATTATTTCCCACACGTTACAACCAAATTAGCAATAAATAAACCTTAAATTTAGTAATTTACGTAAATAATTATGTGTTGTATTTTATATTAAATAACTTCTTGATCAGCATCGTACGTGTTATTAAATTACCTGAAAAAAAAAACAAATTATATGTCTAATAACGCTAGTAATAATATATTTACACTTATACTGTTGAATCACAAGACGGTTCATGAATGATGAACATTATGAATGATGGTATGTGATGATCGATTTCGATTCGATTGGACACTCCAATCATCATCAGGCCCAATAGGCGAATGTCCCAAAAGATTTACCTATTGGGTCTGATAAGATTGGAGTGTGCCATCGAAATCGATCACCACTTACCTTACATATGTATTTACCGTCTTGTGATTCAACAGTATAAGGGTAAATATATTATTAATAGTGTTATTAGACGTATAATTTGTTTTTTTTCAGGTATTTTATATTGCTTGTCCAAGAAGAATACACAATGAAAGTTTCGTATAACCTAGAGAATACTTTATTTTATTTTGTGCAGTGGTCTCTTAAAAAAAGTAAGATACAGAGGAAACATTAAATGGTATAGTGGTATCTAGCAACTTTACTAGTGTCTAAAGTAAAGACCTCCCTTTTCCCCTTCTCACCCTCATGTACTACCACGCTCCATGTGGAGGGAACCCCTGTGCCCCGTGTAAACTATAGCAATGAACGCACAGTGCTTGTAGTTTGGGCTCTTGTTCGTCACTAGTATATTTCCACCCTAACTTACCAGGTCTGAAAGACACCCAAAATACACGGTCGTCCCACAATCGTCTGTATCTTACTTCTCTGTGTTGAAAATAAATACGGACGATTAAACAGTCATGGTGATTCATATGGTTACTGTAGCTAATTCACTGCCTGCAAGTATTTGACATAAGGACTTAAATATCAAGTTCCGGCACTAAAGGGTGTCCCAGTAAGAATGCCGGATTTCAGGAGCGTCTTATCCCTATCTGTATTTCAATATGAATTCCCAAATTATCAGCGATGTTTTCAGTATTAGGTCCCATTTGTAGTCATGAATTGATAAAAGACATATCAACGCGTGGTCATAGTTAAAGTGCCCTTCAAGTACCGGGAATGTTTCGCTGAAACAGTGAGGAAGCTGCACGCGTTTTTCGGCCGGGACAATACACCAAATGAGTCATCTGTCCGAAGATTGATTTCCAAGTTCAAAGAAATTGGCTCAGTTTTGGACATTAAAAGACCAGTACGCAGTCGGGCAGGTCGCTACTTTAAAAATATTGAGGCTGTACATGACAGTGTAGAGGACAACGCAATAACATCGATTCGTCAGCGTAGTCAGCAGTTAGGCCTAGCTCAGAGTACAGTACAAAGAATTTTGGTAAAAGACCTTCACGTGTTTCCTTACAAAATTGAACTCACACAAGAGATCAAGCCGAGAGATCCCGTGAAACGGCTTGAATTTGTACACTGGAATGTTGGAAATCAAGATGAAAATTACATGTTTTCAAAAACTTTGCTGTTCAGCAATGAAGCGAACATTCATCTAAGCAAGATCGTGCGATTTAACACCGTGTGACTACTTTCTTTGGGTATATTTAAAGCTGCTTGTTTTCGCCAATTATCCTTAAACAATCCAAGACCTGAAGGAGGAAATTATTTTGGCCATTAATGGAATTCAACAGAAAGTGTGTGAAAAATGATAGAAAAACTTCGTCAAGAGATGTTGGGCTTGTCAGCAGGCAGCAGGTGGGCACTTACGAGACATAATTTTCCATTACTAATCGGAGATACTATACTTTAAGATTCATGTTTCATATTGTAAATTAAGCGTGAAAATGTATGGTTTATTAACATTTCAAATCCGGCATTTTTATTGGGACACCCTTTATTATATTCTTACCAAAACAAACCAAAATCATTTATATTGGAATTAACTATTAACTTAGAAAAACTTATCTCACTTACCTTCAAGCAACAATTTTCCAGTGACCAGAAAAGAAGAATCTGCAAACACCACACCCAGTTAGACATTTTCAATTAACCATATACAAGTTTAAAGCTGCATAAAAACCTACTTTCATTGGGGATTATAAAACACGGTCGTAACTACTCCCCATCTCCTGACGTCACGGACAAAGCCAGTCACGTGATCGACAGTGTATTATGGTTTGTAGTCACTTTGTGTGGGCTTTGTTTTAAATCAAATATACTAAGGAGATACCTAGCAGTATTAAATGTATCTTCCCAAAATAGTGTCCTGAAATAGTTAAATTCACAAAACGCAGAAGATGTATCCTCTACCATCAAATGTAGAATGTTATCATTATTATTATTATGTAAATTTTCACTTTTTTTATAAATGCATTGTATTCATATGCAAGTATCGTGGGGAAACTGCATTTTATTATGTGGGTAATATTTAAAACGATTTGTTTACAGATTAAACTAAATCCACATCGTCTACAGGTTTGCTGCAACGGAGGTAATTAGGGGCATTAGTTTTCAAACGGGCATAAAACTTAAGTTGCATGTTATAGTTGGCAGTAAAATAAAGTTGTATGTATGGCATTATGAATAATTTGTCACTCATATGGATTAATTATATTAATTTAAAAATGGGTTGCTATTACACCCCTAAATTTATTAGGGATTGGCCTAAGATTAGGGTAATTTTCACATGAGAGAGTGTTTAAACTGATACAGTCATTACCTAAAAAGTATTAGCTAAACACATTTTTAGTAAATTAATATAATAAAATAATTTTGTATATGCATTATGCAAATCAAACTATCATAGCATAAACATGTGTGCATGTCTGCTAGAGAATACAGCATACCAGGAGAGTCCCACTGTAACATTTGTCATGTTAGTTTCAGTTTTATGACTTCAGTGTGGCGTGGACATAGTGCATAAATGACAATATTAACATATTTACTGGAATTATTTCACCCGGATGCATTCCAAATATCCAAACAATGTGTCCAATGTATACATCATAATGTAATTTTACACACTTATTAAAAAGTTACTACAAGTGCAATGAGATATTTATATACCGGGTGTCCGAAAAAGAACTGAAACATTTTAATGCCAAATACTGATACCAAATAAGAGACTATGTTTAATGTTTTATATACGTATTTAATGCTTAAATTCTCAAGTTTAGGTCAAGTCTATTATTTTAGGAGTTGTAATACATAACCTTTGTTTGAAGAAGACAGAACATTATGCCACGTATGAACTTTTGTAATAAGATAAGTTATAAATGAAATGCGAAACGTGGGGAAGTATCCAGAAGAACATTACGAGTATATCCTGTACCCGCCAACACGGTGAATGTATTGAGAAACTTTTATATTCAAACTCAACTTTTCTGACACCGAATCAAACATTTCATAAAGAATTAATACGGTTGTGTACTCGTTCTTTATATAACATGTTACAACCCAAACATAATAACATAAAACATAACATAAAACATAACATAAAACATAACATAAAACATAACATAAAACATAACATAAAACATAACATAAAACATATCATAAAACATAACACAACATAAAAATTAAGGTTTTAACATCTGCGCTTGGCGTTTGTTTAAGAAAACCAATATATTTAAGTGGTACAATCAATAATCTTAAAAATTATTACACTGAAAACTAATAAAGGTATTGTTAATAGTTTTTTGTTTTATTCTATTGATAGTTTTTGTAAGAACTAGATTAAATTCAAGAAAATCTTAATTATTATTGTACCATATTTATATAATTTTATTCAGTTCTCTTCCAAACTCAAAAATTAACCGGTTAGCCGCTATTTAGTTCTTTTAGCAAATAGTTTTTTTTTTTATTTAATAACGGCTTTAATAATGGTGTAGTGAATCGAAACTTGGAGTAAATACCTGTTTTGAGAAAAAAAGATATTTTTATAGTATGTATTTTAAAAAGGAAAGAAACTTCAAGTTATTAAACTGAAATAACAAAAAAAACATACGTAGGTAAACAGAAAATATTGCAGTAATGTTTTGTTTAACCAAATTAAAAAAGGTTCATAAGGGGGACAATAATAATTAAGATACTGTGCACCAAACAATATCTATGGTCATTTTGGTAAGTCCACTGCTAGTTAGCTAAAACAATCAGCGTTTTAATTCTGCGTTACCCAATCATTGCAAATATGTATACATGCAATAATCTTTAAAATGAGCTTTTATCACTTACATCGATTTTTTTTCGTTTCAAAACATTCCAATCCATTACCATATGCCCATTATAATTATGTTCTGACTCGAGAAGTAAAAAATAAAAAATAAAAATATCTCTCCGCATATACAAACACAAGGTCTTTGGTATTTTTAGAAGTATCGCGAATTGGACAGTTTTTAGTTTACTAAATTTAATAATATGTGAGCAGAAGATTAAGTGAATGTTGGCACTCCTGCAGCGCTGGCAGCCATACTTAACGCTATGCCGCATTGCATTTGTAAAATGACTTGACTTATAAGATAAAACAACAACGTAATTCATTCAAGAGTGTAAGAAGGTTTAGCTGCCTAGTGGTCTTGTTGTGGAGCTGATAAAATATACTCATGACCTCATGAATGGAATAACAGAGTGAAAAGGACCACTCCCTCATTTTTGGTATGTGGAAATGTTACTATAAAAATAATTTAATCAGGTACTTATAAAGATAGATTAATAGAATCATTGACCGAAATATGTATACGGTTATCAGTTCGGTTAGGTATTTGAGCATGGAATTATTTTAAGACTTAAAGACTTTAAGATAAATTTAAGAATTTAACATATAAAGACAAATAAACCTAAATAATTGAGTTATATACGTTATTTGACTTTTTTTTTCTTTATTCTATACTATTGAAATGTATAAAAATATATATAAGAAGTATATTAAAAGGTTTTAGTTTATACTAACGAATATATAGTCCAGTCAATGAATGCTCAAAAGGGGGGTGTAGAGGACATGGAGAGGGGGAAATTTTTTTTCTGTGGGAATGTGTTCGGGGTAGTTAGGAGATAAAAATACCAAAAGTCCCCGCCCCTAGCCCTGCTGCTTCAGCGGGGGGAGGGGGGGAAAGACCCCATTTTTTAGTTTTTTACTTCTACACTGAAAACCGTGCATCATACGTAAAAAATGTAAATTATAAAAAGAAAGATGATGAAATTCTCTACAAGAATAGTCATATTCATTTCTTCCGTATATGCATTAGTTTAAAAGGTATTCTCAAAATAATATACAAATTCTTAAATAAATTGATTTTTCACGCGTTTTTTGTCAAATAAGTGTATATAATTCATTAGCCTGTTGTTGTTTCACATCAATCAGGATAGAAAACAGGATTTTGAGAACTAACCTATATAATATAATATATCAATCGTATATATATTGTGTTAAAAATAGTTTATATAAATTTAAATAAGTTTTATATATTTGTCATGGAAACAAGTAATTTTGGCATAATTATTATATTAAAAATTTAAAAGAATATGTTTGTAGTTATATTTTTCCAGGTTAATTTATAACAATTACCGAAACCAAGACTTATTATTATTGTTCATGGTCTGGCTCACTTGGGACGAGAGGGTCCGACTTCTGTCCCAAAAACTGGTGCCATCTGGAACTGAAAAACACCATCTAGGACATCTCCATCATTCAATTCTTGTTGATTAGACTCAATATTGGCTATCGAAGTGAGAATTCTGTGTAGGCCTGTATATTCTTCATCCTCCTCATTCATCAGAATGGGCATTTCATGTAAAAAGTTCCCTTAGCAGTTCTGGCATAACGGAGAACAATTATTGGACATTTTCTTGCATGCACAAATTGCACATCTGGCACTGTTATAATCTTGAGTACATTTGAAAAAAAAACTGGGTTAAGGGATTAACTGTTCCTGGTCGCTATAATTTTGGTGTATCTGTTCAAATGAATATCTACTGACCAGTGGCGGTCCCTTGGGGGGGGGGGGGGTATCCTCTCCGAAATATTTTATTAGCTAACATAAATACTATTAGCTCGAAGATATTTTAGAGCTCAAATGCATATAAAAAAATACGTTATTGTGCTTTAAATTGGGTTAACCACCGGAGGCCCCCCCGGAAATTAAATCCTGGGACCGCCACTGCTACTGACTTTTTCAATCTCTAGCGTGTCTTTCTTGGTCTGCCATCTTCGTGCTGTTTTCTGAAGTGCTATATCCACGTACCATCACATATCGCAGACACTGAAGATCCCCTTTGCCATATAACCTTATGCGTGGGAAATACCCCATCGATAACCAAATTAAAAGTCGTTAAAACTGTTGTTGGTGGGTTCCAAATAACTTGAACAGTGCAGGCATTTTTGGTCTTTACTCATACCACTCCCATTAAATAAAGAGAAATGGAGCAAGTTCAAATCGTTAACAATCCTTTAAATCTTGATAACTTTTTAAACTTATACAAATCCTTTGAAACAGAAAGGTTTTGCTGCAACGTTTTAATCATTGATATCGATGGTTGAATTCACAGAGGACAAAGGTAGAGCCATATTTTCCCGTGACAGCTTGTTGTCTGCAAATGATTACAATTTGAGTAATTACTCGCAGACTACGTAATACAGCATCGTAACAGTTAACGGATTCATCACATACAACCCCAGATGCTATTTGTTTTTTGCAAATATACTAAAGATTGTAGCAATTAAAGATGTTCATGCAATGAAATGTCCATTAATTGTTCCTCGTTGGCCGTTATGCCAGGGACCATTCAAATAGAATGCCAATTCTGATAAATGAGGATGATGAAGAATATATACACTGCACTCTCACATCGATAGCAGATGTGAAGACTGGGACGGGTGGCGTCGTCCTGTAATCCAGCTACTAGGAGGTCACGAATTGTGGATATTTATAGGCATGCACTGTGGATGCGATACTCCCTGGTGTGGATTAACGTCCGCACGGGTGAGTACTATACGACTATCCGCAGTACTATCCTGA